AGGAGGGAGAGGAAGAGGTGGAGGAGGAAGGAGAGAAGGAGGAAGAAGAGAGAAGGAGGTGGAGAAGAAGAGAAGGCAGAGGAGACGGAGAAGGAGAAGAGAAGGAGGTGGAGGAGGAGAGAAGCAAGAAGACGAGGAGGGGGGAGAAGAAGAGGAGGATATGGAAGAGAAGCTGCAGCAGGAGGAGAGGTGAAAGAAGAGGAGGAGGACATGTAGGAAGAGAAGGAGGAGGAGGAAGGGAGACTCTGGCTGACAGGCTCTTGCTCTCTTGCCATGGGTGCCTTCCACCATGTTATGAGGCAGAAAGGCCCACCAACAGCAGCCCGTTAATCCCTAGGTTCCAGAAGTATTAGCTGAATAGATTTGTATTTTATGTAAATTTTTTTTTTAGAAAAGATAAAGTTGGATGCTGAACACCATCCCACAACTGGACGTGACCCCAACAGCAGGTTCCCTGTTGGTTCTCTGCCTGTTCCCACCACCTTGCTCCCTCCTGCCCTTGCCCTTGCCCTCTACCATCAATGCCAGTTTCTCTGCTTCCTCCCCATAGCTGTTACATCTCACCCAGAGTTTCTTTTGTATTCCTAAAATTCACTCTGTGTGGGGCATGGCCTTGGGGAGGCCATGTCTGAGGCCTTGACTCTCTGTCTTTCTCAGGGAATCGACATTACTGATACTTAAGAGTCCCACCTTTTTATGGCCAAGTTTTGTGTGTAGTATGACACTATTTCTGAGTCATGGTACATTTTAACCCTACTTAACACCGCCTCAAAAAGATTTTAGTTTGCCTTCCATTTTGACTTTCTCTTACATTCCACAGGAAACCTCTTGTGTAGACTGACAAGATTATCAGGAAAAGTACTTTAAAGAATATCTTAATAGCAGATCTACTGTCTTCTAATTAAATTTGTAGAGCTGCCAACCTCCTTTATTAGACAACCTGTAACTGCTGCTCAAGTCTTGTGAGACTAGTCCAGGGCACTTTCTACTCCCCCATACTGCCTGATCTCCCAGGTTAATTCTTTCCTAGATTCATTTACTGGTTGTAGTTTCACATACTTGTCAATAGTGAGGAAAGCAACCTAACTCTGCTAAGTTTCTGTTTCACTCAGGAAACCTGATTTTATATACACCCGGGGAAAACCCAGAGTTAGGGCCTGGACTCTGGGGGTCAGGACTGTGGTTGGGTAGTATTACGGTTTGGATCTGGGATGTTCACCAAAAACTCACATGTTGAAAACATGATCCCCAGTGCACCAAGGTTCAGGGGTGGGGCTTTAGGCAATGATTGGATCATGAGGCCTCTGACCTCATTAGTGGATTAATCCATCAAATTGATAGCTGGATGGAGTATTGAGAGGTGGGATCTAGTGGGAGAAAATAGGTCACTGGGAGTGTGCCCTAGAAGGTTTTATCTTCTCCCTCAGCCCCTTCTTCTCTCTCTGTTTCCCAGCTGCCATGAGCTACCCAGCTTTTCTCTTCCATACCCTTCTGCCATGATGTTCTGCCTCATCTCAGGTCTGGGGCAATGGAGCCAGCCAGCCATGGACTGAATCCTCTGAAACCAAGAGCCAAAATAAATTGTCCTCCTCTAAGTTGTTCTTAGGTATTTTGGTCACCGTGACGAAAAGCTAACTGACACAGGGAGTTGTAAGGGTTGCGTGGAAGGCTTGGGGGCAGTTCTCTAGAAAGCAAGCTGCTTTGAGAGAGTCTGGGGGCAGAAGATCCTCTTTTTAAAAGGGCCCTTCCAAAGGGCGGGCCTATGGGAAGAAAAAAATAATAAGAGAGCTTATGCTGGTTTTCTTCAGACTCTTTCCAAGGCTAAAGTCAGCCATGACAGAGAGAGTCCAGAGAGGCAGAGGCAGTGTGTGAAGGAGGGAAGTCAGATCAAACAGGAAGAAAAGAGGAAAGGGAAGACGTAGAAGCTTCTGACAGATAAAATACCCTGAGGGACAGGTGGCTAGGGAAGTGGTGGAAATGCAAACAAAATGGTCACATATCTTATTTTGAAAAAACATCTCTTAAATATAATATGTGGTAACTTGTCTATGGTTTGAGTGTGTCCTTCCACATGCTGGAAGCTTAGTCCCTAATATGGCAATGTTGAGGTAGTATGGAACCTTTAAGAGATGGCACCTAATACTAGATGATTAGTGCACTGGCCACATGCCCTCAGGAGGATTTAACACGTTCTTCTGGGAGCCTCCTTAGTTCCTGCCGTATGGTTTGTTATAAGAGAGCAATTGTGACCCCACCCCACTCCCCGGCTTCCTATCTTGCCTTGGGATCCCTCTCACAAGCGCTCCTGCCAGGATGCCATTCACCATGCAGTCTTCACCAAAGCCCAGCTGATGCTAGTACCATGATCTTGAACCTCTAAACTGGGAGCTAAATGGTCCTCTTTTAAAAAAAAAAAAAGTAACTAGTCTCAGGAATTTTGTGATAGCCATGAAAACAGACTAATACATAATACTACTAGATTTGAAAGTGATTCCTGAATGGAAAAAAAAAAGACTTCTGCTTTTCCATTTTGTTGTTCTTGTTATCATTGTTTGGGTACAATCTCAAAGAATCTGGGGTGTCTACACTGGACACATTCCCCATTCATCTACGTGGGCTACATAGAGATCATATGGAAGATCACTCCCTGCTACCCCAGGTAAGAAGTTAAGTGTTCAGAATCTTGTGCTGTGATTATAGGGGCCATACCCTCACTTCTGTATTTGTGAATAAAAGGCAGAAGATACAACAAAACTAAGTTTGTGCAGGCTGAGCCTCCAGGATCATTCACCTAGTAAAAGACTGAGCCAACAATCCAGCATCTGATCCTTCCTTTCACACCTGCCCATCAGCTCAGCTTGTGGGCACCTGGATTGACAAAGAACACGTGGTGGTGTGCAGCTAGAGGTGTACACATAAAGCTGGCCCAGTCTTCCTTTAATGACACACATTCTTGGTTTCAAAATACTTCTGTGTATTCAATGCACAAGGAAGTGTATTTTAGGTTTTAAGCAATGATGCTGCACCACCCCCTGCTTTAATCCTCTCTGATGAGACCTCGAATCCCACAGCAGTAGCTCATGTAGCCAGGTAAGCCACAGCCACAAATTGATGGAGCTCTTGTTAAATACTATTTCCTCATCACCTCTTCAAATTTAAGGTTTAAAATAAACATAGGGGGAAGCTGGAGTGGAGATTCTGGAGAAAAATACGATCATAGACAAATGACTAGCGCCAGCTGATTTTCAGATAGTTCCACTGCAAAGACAAGGAATAGAAATGGGCCTGGCAGTGCCAGGCTGATCTCTCAGAAATTTCTAGAATAAGCATTAGTGTCAATGTAAGTAGAAAATACAATGTAGCCAGACAGTTCACTGGAAAAGTTGTAAATCATCTAAGCAGTATAATAAGAAGAATGCATTATTACAACATTCACACTCACGAAATTTGACAAAGTCAAACACTATTCAACCAGCTATTCAAAAACAAAAAAAAAAAAAAACCATAGTATCATTTTCTGTGTTGTGTTTTGTTTTGTGGTAATCAACTAGTGGTTTCTTAGGAATTCATTAAATATCTGCTCATTACAGTTTTCAGTCCATGAATAGTGTTTCTGCTAGATCAATTCTAAAAGCCAGTAATGATTTAATTCTGAATCATGTAGAAAGAAAATATGAGAAAAAAAATCACATTTCTTTCAGTTCTGTAGCAATTGCAGCAGGTAAATTTTAAATGTTTAAAAAGTAAAAGGGTTATGAACTCCCATTTTTACCCCGTATACAGATTGCAGCATCACATCAGTTACACATCCACTGTTTTACATATTGCGATACTAGTGTCTGTTGTATTCTGAATCAAAGTGTGAAATATGATATGTCAAGAACTATGTAATGTTTTGAACAACCAACAATAAAAATTAAAGAAAAAAATTAAAAAATAAAAATAAAAAGTAAAAGGGGCAAAGTTATGGCTACTTCATCAGCACGTTCTTTGCCCAGTAAATTTTCTAAAAGCATCAGATTGTTTGCTGTTGGGAAGGTTCTGATTTTATCAACAGTTCATGAGAAAGCATTTTTGCTCAGGTATCCACAGCTCACCTTTCACCCTGTGCCCGCTCCTCCAACAGCATTCATTCCACAAATATCCACGGGCAGATTCACATTCCAGTCACTCAGAGCAAAAATATCTGGGCAAAGTCCTCTGTCTTCACGCAGCATCACCTCCACACAGGCATGACATTTCAGAAACAAAAACTGTTTCCATCAGCTTTTAACAATGCAGGTGGACACTAATCTCAAAAATCTTCAAGTATAAATGCATTATGTTTTTATTTCTCTTTTTTTCTTTTTATCATCGTGGTCTTAACACTAAATGGTTGGCCATTAAATAGCAATGAACACAAATAATTATTTTAAGTAATTTTTAACTTATTCAAGAACTACTATGGTTGATACTGAAATTATTACCAAAGAATGCCCTTTGGTATGAAGCCCAGCCAGCGTCCTCACCACATTGTCAATGCTCCCCACTGAAGGCCACGAGCAGATACAAGTCCAGTGCAAGTCCCTAGACTCATCTTGATCTAAAATAGGGATAATCAGACCCCAAATTTGTTGTAACCTAATTTTATTCCATCACTCTTCTGATAACTAGGCTTTTTCACCTCACATGTAAGCACTGGTCGCAGTTGTGGGTCTGTAACTGGGTTTCTTCAGGTTCCTAAGTACCAAGTCGTTTAACTTATCTTGTAAACTAGCACTAATAATAAAAATAGCAACATGTCTTTGAGTAAGAGCAACATATTTTTGAATAATAATAATTACACCTCTTTCAAGTGATAATTATAGCAGTAATCGCATTCATGAGCACCTATTTCATGCCAAACAGTTTTTTATTTGTTTGGTTTTAGGTCCTGGGAATTGAACCCAGGGGTGCTTTAACACTGAGCTACTATCTCAGTTCTTTTAAATTTATTTTTATTGTTTTTTATTTTGAGACAGGTCTCACTGAGTGTCCAGAGACAGGATCTTGACCTGTTGATCCTCCTGCCTCAGCCTTCCAAATCACTGGGATCACAGGCATGCGTCACCATGCCCAGCTCTGCTAGGCAGTTTTTTTAAGTGATTTTTAAAATTCAATTAATATGTGCCTATGGTGCCCTCCTCACCAGCCTTACATCTGCACTGCCATTGTATGATGGCCAGGAACCTTTGTCCACGAGCAAAAGCCTCCCTCTGCATGGACAGCCTCCTTGATGCTAAGGATCTCTGTCTCTTTATTTTCAAGTCTCGTCTACCTCGGCCTTCCACCTGACCTCAGCACCCCTGATACTTCACTTTGTACCTGCCACTCCACCTAGCCACAGTTTTCCCTGACTCTACCTTCAAGACCCACTGAACTTCAACAACCAGAACCTGCAGCCAGGCGGCTTCCCAGGAAATCCCTCCCCTCATTGGGAAGTTGGGGGAGAGAGTCGCGCTGGCAAGTCCTGAAACATGTCTCTCTGCAGCATTAACGTCAAAACCAAGCACAGCCACTGTGCCAAACTTCACAGTATCTACAGGGAACTCGAGCAACATAATTGGATCCACAGTGATTCCATGTGGAAAGAAGATATAAAAGAGGTGTTTATTGCATCTATTTGAGCAATGTTTTAAAATCATCTTCTTTTAGAATAGGTAGTAAGTACTTTCCTGAAACCCAAAATATAGCAATTAGCATCTGTCAAGTAGTCAACAGAATATAAAATACAGACACATATGATCAAGAAGAATCCAGCTCTCTCTCGGCTGTGCTGAACAAGGGAGGGAAGGTAGAATTAGGATGGGCTTGAGGTCAGGCAGACATGACTTTTAATCTTGCTCTGCCCTTCACGGGCTGTGTGAGGTAAGGAATTTAACTCTGAACCTCCTTCTTCATCTGTGGCATAGGAATGCTGCGACACTTCTTACCTTACAGTGCTGCAATGGGGTCTCAAACTGCCTGAGTTCAAGTGCCTCATCCAGAATGTGGCACACAATATATGCACAGTAATGGGGAGGGTAACAATCATGGTGTTGATGGAGATTACAGTGACAGTGGTGACGGCCAAAACCCACAGCAGTGTGCTATTCAAATCACTGGTAGAGAACACAGGGTTAGAATTTAGTCATTTGCTGGACAAATCTTCAAAAGAAAAGAATGGAAAAGGAGAAAGGAAACGGATGAAACTATTAGAGTTAAGATACCCTAACACCTAGAAGAGGGAGAAGAAACTATAGCATCCTGCAAAAACTTACATTAAGCCTCTGTTCTGGGGCAGACTACTCAGAAAACATACCAAGTCCATTTTGTCCAAATTGGAGAGTCTTTATTTAGCCGGCCAGCCAGTGACTGCTCCCAGCAGGACCCATAACTGTCTCTGCAAGGAACAGCCTTGAGCCTGAGCATTTTAGGGTCTTTAAAGGCAAACACCACAAAAAACACATCTGGGTTGACATAGCTGCAATCAAGCAAGGGTACAGAAGCTGAATTGTGCAGTTAGGGAAACAATGCAATGGATACATTGGTATTTCCCACAGGACTTTCCAGGTTGGCATAGCAGCAAGCAAGCAGAAGAGAAGTGGGTCAAAATGACCCTAATTGAGTACGAGTTAGAGAATGGTTACTAAAGCCTAGACAATCATCAATCTCTGACAGGGTACATTGCCCAAGAAAAATGGAAACCAAAGAAAACAATTTTACATTGTATAAGAATTGCCATTTTGTGTTGCCAACATGCTATGCTAAGCAACTATTGATAGGTGCAGAGGTGAGGTGTTCCCATGGGAGAAGCATTTCTTATATGACATGGAGTCTTGGGGTAAAATGGAGTCTGTTTGGTCATTGCCTATATAGCATGGCCCATAACAGCCTCATCAAGGTAATATTTCTCTTCTGAGTCATCATTACAGACCATATTTAGTACTAGAGTAAATGGCACTGATGACCCTTAGCCCAACAAAGCCTCAGCCTCCCAAGCTGTTGGGATCATAGGTATGTACCACCATGCTCAGCTTGCCCTGTTTTTGTTTTTGTTTTTGTTTTTTAATTTTTTCTTTTTAGATATGCATGACAGTAGAGTGTATTCTGACATATTATACATACATGAAGTATAACATCCCATTCCTGTGGCTGCACATGATGTGGAGATACACTGTTCACCTATTCATATATGAAGATAGGAAAGTCATGCCCAATTCATGCTACTTACTGTCTTTCCTGTTCCCATCTCCCCTCCCTTCCCTTCATTCCCTTGTCTAATCCAGTGAACTTCTACTCTCCCCCATCCCTCCATTGTGTGTTAGCATCTGCATATTGGAGAGAATATTTGGCCTTTGGATTTGGGAGATTGACTTATTTCACTTACCATGATAGTCTCCAGTTCTATCCATTTACTGGCAGACGCTATAATTTCATTCTTCTTTCTGTCTTAAAACACTGTTTCTTGGTGAATTTTACAGTGATTTAAATTAATCACATAAAACTAGAGTTATATACTACCCTATAAACTCAAGTCAAGATTGAGCTGATTTTATAGTCATCCTCTAGCAGGCAGGAAGGAAGAGAGAGAGAGAAGGGAGAAAGGATGGATGGAAGGAAGGAAGGGGAACACAAAGAAAAAGTGTAAAGAATCGGAGCACGGATAAGTACTTAGAATGATGTTTATTTTAATAACAAAACCAGAATGTGATCTATATACAAGGTGAGATGTAAAAGTCTGGGTCTATTCTATCTTGACATTTTTGAGGCAGAAACTCCAAATGCCATCGAATCATAACCACAGAAGACAATCCTCATGAGAATTCTGCGAAAGGAAGTTGAGTAATATGTTGGAACAGATGATGGCTTTTTCAGCCTCCCACAACACCAAATCATGGAAAGCTTTCAGAGGTTGTCTGTATAAATAAAATATGAATATCCAAGTTCAGAGTTCCCTTTGTGCAAATAATGTTTATCTTTGTTTATGTGAAGAATTGGCAATCAAAATATGAGTTAAGGTTGGCCATTCCTTCCATACTGTGTCTGGTTTTCTTTGTCAATGAGAGAGAGGGAAAAAAAAAATCACCAAAGTTCAAAATGTGTTATTTCATTAAAATCAGCTACCCAGGCCCCTCCATACTTTTGTTGCCTAAAACAATTTGACTCTGCTGTTCATAACCCAGATCTGTTTAACCCTCAGATGCATATCCTCCATGTCCTGGCCCTTCAGTTACAAAACCACATCAAAAATCTCAATGCAGAGTTTCATTTATGCTAATTTCATATAAAGCAACAGTATAACATAACTTCCAACAAATGCTCTATATTAAGAGAAGTACAGTATTCAAATGAGAGAGCTGTTGGTCTTTGTTTCTTGGGGGGGAGGCCACACCTATGATACTAAAGTATCACACCTCTTAAAAAGTTTAAGAATTCAACATAAGATATCCATTTCTCCTATTCCTATGTTCAGAACCAGTTGAAAAATAAGACTAATCAGAGACCTGAACAGGCAGGTTAAACTGTCCCCTTTATTACTGGTAAATTATTGGAGAAAATGATGTGAGACACCAACTCCCTACTCTGTCCCAACACAGACCCAAGTCTACCTCAGCACCCAAGGGAAAGGCTGGAGCTGCCTCTGGGGAGCGAAAGGGGAAGTTTCCACCCCTTCAGCAGATTTGTGGCACCTGATTTGCACCCCTGTCACCATCTACCAAATAGGTAACTGAACTCTCAGCAGGAAGGAGTAAGTAAATGAGTGTTAGGACTAAAAGCCAAGAGTTTTATTCCAATGGAGCTCCTCTAACAAAAGAACATGAAACCAGGGAAAAGGAGTTTCCCTCCTATAGCTCTCAGTTGATACCTCCTTAGGTAAAACAGGAGCTCGGTAAGAGTGTGACCAGAGGAACGAAGATGGTGGGCCAGAGGGAGGCAGCATTCCGTGTCGCTCTGTGATCCAGATCTCACCTGGTCGGAATACTGCATCTCTGAGAACGTTAGAGGACCCCTATACAGCTGATTTCCACAGAAGTCACCAGCGCAGGGCTCTGGGCCTCAGCGTTGGAGCAGAACTCTGGACTCCTAGCTCCCGACACCCTAAGCCCAAGTTCCAGCAAATGTAGAACTAGGGAGCACCATAGCAGAATCTCCTCTCAGCACCTCTACAGAACTCCCAGACGTCGCTCTGCTCCCAAACAGGTCACTCAGCTGCTACCTACCCACAGCACAACACCATCGCCTGGCTCCCCCACCTCAGCAGACACCCCACGTGGGAAGCAGACCGCCTCCATCTTGGCTCACCTCCCTCGCCATGTTTGCTGGGGGCAGCTCCCAGATCTGATCTCCAGCTGGCCAGGTACCAGGTTTCCAACTTCCCCCTCTCCTCCCCAGCATGAGTAACCTAACACACTAACTGCCCAACTCAAAACAACTCGCAGTTGGACAGGTGTGCAGTGCGATCAGGAGCCCTGGTGTGAGAGGTCCCACAGTTGGGAACTGCTAGGGGAGAGGGAGATGGGGCTAAAGTTTGGAGCCTAACAGAGAGACCAGGAACTGGGAAATCTCCAGGCAAGAGAGTGAGATAGTACCAGCCGCTCAAGTCATATGAGCCAGCGGTCCCAAAAAGAGACCCATGAAGTGCAGCCTCCCTGCAGGGACTAGCAGGTACCACTCCCCACTTCTAGGAGCCCTGCACTAGGACCAGTCTTCCCACCTGCTTGCCTCCACCATCTGGAGGGCAGAGACACCAGCTTACAACAGACAACCCCACCTACTGGGTGAGAAGAGAAGCAGGAAAGATATGGATCTCTAAAACTAGCAACAACCCTGGTTTTTTCCTTCGAGTTTTTTTTTCTCTTCTACCCCTCTATCCTCCAGGCCTCACATCCCCAACATTTGTGGAATCAAGAACTTTGCATGAAATAGGATTCTGAGGACTGAGTCATCTGAATAATATAATATAGAGGTGTTGTATATGCCCTTTTTTTCTCTCTTTTTTCTTCTTTCATTTTTCTTTCCCCCTCCAAATTTTATTATTTTAACATCCTGTATTTTTCTGAATACATATATGTGTTTATTTTATGTACTGTACTGTCTTCCCACATACTTGCCTACCCTAAATTACTTCCTGTCTATTCTCTTGCTACCAACCCTCTTCATTAGATTTATCTTTCACATTCCCTAAGATATATTAACTCTATATCCTCACATCCTACCTCCTCAGCATATTGTCCTATGCCCCACCCCCAGTTCATGGTCCACTGTCAGAAACTGTAAACCCTTTTATAAAACTACTGATTATATTATAGACAATAATTGAATCCAACATTTATGTACATTGAGACTAAACTGTAAACGTCTTAATAACAACAAATTGTTCTTAGGTGGTATATTGTTGACATTGGGATCTGATAACATTCTCCTTCCCCAAAAAGGAGAGGTCTTGGAACCCTACAAGAGCACTACAAACCTATAGGGTAAAAACAATAACACCCCAGACCCACAGAGCTGGAAAGGAAGACACACAAGCAACATGAAAAAACAAGGGAAGAAAGTGCCCCAAACAAATCAAGACATCACATTATTAGAATCATAGGAAGCCACAGCAGAAGAAATAACAGAGAAGGAGTTCAGGATGTACATGGTTAAAATGTTCTATGAACTCAAGGAAGATAGAGCAAATACAGGCAGTGAAAGTTCACTTCAACAAGGAGCTACATAAACAAATACAGGAAGTAAGAGATCACCTCAACAGAGAGATACAGAGGTTCTTTAAAAAAAAAAAAAAGAAATCCTTGAAATGAAAGAAACAATAAACCAGATTAAAAGCTCAAATGAAAGCATCACCAACAGAGTAGACCACTTAAAAGATAGGACATCAGACAATGAAGACAATATATATAATCTTGAAAAGAATGTAGACCACACAGTGATAATGGTAAGAAACCACAAACAGAACATTCAAGAAATATGGGATAGCATAAAAAGACCAAATTTAACAGTTATTGGGATAGAGGAAGGCATAGAGGTCCAAACCAAAACAATGAACAATCTATTTAATGAAATAATGTCAGAAAACTTTCCAAACATGAAAAATGAATTGGAAATCCAAATTCAGGAAGACTACAGGATGCCAAATGCCAAAATCACAACAATCCATTATAATGAAAATGCCCAACATACAGAATAAGGATAGAATTTAAAAGCCACAAGAGAAAGGAATCAGATTACATATAGGGGAAAACCAATTAGGATAATAGCAGATTTTTCAACCCAGACCCTGAAAGCTAGAAGATCCTGGAACATATATCAAGCTCTGAAAGAAAATGGATGCCAACCAAGAATATTATATCCAGCAAAGTTAAGCTTTAGATTTGATGATGAAATAAAAACCATCCATGATAAACAAAAGTTAAAAGAATTTATAGCTAGAAAACCGGCACTACAAAACATCCTTGGAAAAATATTCCATGAAGAGGAAACAAAAGACAACAATAAAAATCAGCAGAAGGAGGTAGTACCCTAAAGGAAAAACTAATCAAAGAAGAAAATCAAGTCAAGTTAAATAAACAAATATGGCTGGGAATACAAACCATGTCTCAATAGTAACCCTGAACGTTAATAGCTTAAACTCACCAATCAAAAGACATAGGCTAGCAAATTGGATTTTAAAAAAGACCCAACAATATGCTGCCTCCAGGAGACTCATGTGATAGGTAAAGACATAGACAGACTGGAGGTGAAAGGTTGGAACTAATCATACCACTCACAAGGACTGTGGAAGCAAGCAGGGGTTTCCATCCTCATATCAAATAAAGTAGACTTCAAGCCAAAGTTAATCAAAAGGGATAAAGATGGACATTACATACTGCTCAAGGGAACCATACACCAACAAAACATAACAATCATAAATATGTATGCCCCAAACAATGGAGCAGCTATGTTCATCAAACAAATCCTTCTCAAGTTCAAGAGTCAAATTGGCCACAACACAATAATCTTGCATGACTTTAACACAACTTGCTGACCACTGGGATAGATCTTTCAAACAAAAGTTGAATAAAGAAACTATAGATCTCAGTAATACAATTAATAACTTTGACTTAACTGACATATATAGAATATTTCAACCTGCATCAAGCAGATACACTTTCTTTTCATCAGCACATGGATCCTTCTCTAAAATAGACCATATAATATGCCACAAAGCAACTCTTAGCAAATACAAAAAAGTAGAGCTACTACCCTGCATTTTATCAGATCATATGGAATGAAATTGGAAATTAATGACAAAATAAAAATTAAAAATTACTCCAACACCTAGAGACTAAACTATATGCTACTGAATGAACAATGAGTTGCAGAAGACATCAAGGAGGAGATTAAAAAATTCCTAGAGGTAAATGAGAACATAGACACAACATATGGAAATCTCTGGAACCCTATGAAATAAGTACTATGAGAAAAGTTCATTGCATGGAGTTCATTCCTTAAAAGAAGAAAAAGGGCTGGGGATGTGGCTCAAGCAGTAGCATGCTGGCCTGGCATGCATGGGCCACTGGGTTCAATCCTCAGCACCACATAAAAATAAAATAAAGATGTTGTGTCCACAGAAAACTAAAAAATAAATATTAAAAAAATTCTCTCTCTCTCTCTCTCTCTTTAAAAAAAAAGAAGAAAAAGTCAACAAATAACCAAGCTAACATTACATTTCAAAGCCCTAGAAAAAAAGAACCAATCAAAAGCAGTAGAAGACAAGAAATAATCAAAATTAGAAATAAAATTGAAACAAAAGAAACAATTGACAAAACAAAAAGTTGGTTCTTTGAAAAAATAAATAAAATTGACAGACCCTTAGCAATGCTAAGGAAGAGAAGGATAGAGAAAACTCAAATTACCAGCATACATGATGAAAAAGGTAATATCACAAACAACAGGCACTACAGAAATACAAGGATAGTTAGAAATTATTTTGAAAACTTATACATCAATAAAATAAAAGATATTGAAGGCATCTACAAATTTCTTAA